TGACTTTAAACAAATACAATGTTTCATTCATAATAAAACTATAGAATATCTAAAAATAAATTATATTATAGAACTAATGTTTTATTTATCAAAATGTAATTTATATTTTTATTATGAATCATTTTTATGTACATATTTTTATACTATCTCTTTATATATCTGTAAATTGAAGAATGATATAAATTTGACAAATTTTAAAGTAACAAATATTAATCGTGACATTGTTAAAAAAAGAAATGAAAATCAATATATCCTCCATAATAATAATAATGATGATAATAATAATGATAATAATAATAATGATAATAATAATAATGATAATAATGATAATAAAAATGGGTGTTATATAAAATATATAAATATAAATATGGATAATATGATTACTAGTTTTATAAACTATCTCTCTTCATCTTATTCTTACAAAAATATTAAAATAAATAATAATACCACTTCATCTGTCATCTTATGTTTATATCTTTGTTTAGGCTTATTTTCTTTATTTCCAAAATTACATAATTTATTCTTTAATCTATATCCTACATATAATAATTACACAAAGACGATTTTATCAAAGGACCAAGGATTTATTCTAATAAATACCATAGAAGACATATATTTGAAAAATGCATCTTTTATTAAAAAGTGCTTACTACTTATATATATTATAAATACAATTACAATCCCTGTTATACAAACAAATGTTCTTAGATCAAATGATAAAAAATATCAAAGTTTATTATATCATTATATAAACCATTATAAAATTAATATAAAAGAAAAAAGTATACAAACACAAAATTGTAATGCTATAAATAATAAATTAAATAAATATAAAGATTCTGATCAACCAAAAAAACATTGTCACAAACATATGTCATATTATTTAATAAATAAAAATATCAAATTATTCATATATTTATTATGTTCAAAAAATAATAATATATTTAATCTGATAAATTTCTCATATATCAAATTATTATACAATCAAATGAACTACTATATAGATAATTGCTGTGTAAAAAAGTTCAAAAAGTCTGAAATCGAAAAAGATATATTTTACAATTTAAATGAATATATCACAAAACGCTATCCTACCTATATATGTTCAAATATTATGAATAAAGGTATCCCTATATTTTTTACAATAGACATACTGATATATAAAAGGAAAACATAGTAGCATAATATTTCTATCGTTTTTGATATTAAAAAAAAAAAAAAAAAAAGAAAATTATAATTTTACATTCCCATTGAGCAATATATACAGATGTGTGTATGTTATGTTATTAATATGTTTATTTTTTTCTACATAGATTATTATATTACGTTATTTAATATTATATTTTATTTTTTTATCATCTTAATTATGCTCGGACTATGACAAAAAAAATATAAAAATAAAAAAATAAAAAAATAAAAGTTAGACACATAATATTTTTTTTTTTTGTTTGTTTTGTTTTTTTTTTTTTTCCATTATTTTTTTTTTTTTTTTGACATTTTATTTCTTTTTTATATCCAATATATAGTGTTTGAAAAATAAAGTACCTTATTTTGAAAAAGTATATCTACATAATATTATAAATGCATATAGCTGTTTTCTCTTCTTTTTTATACACTTATGATATGGTATAATATATAAGAAATACATATTTATATAAACTTAATATTTTTTTTGAAAACGTAATATATAAATTGATATGAATACATAAAGGCATAAAAACACTTAAGAAATAAATAAATAAATAAATATATATATATATATATATATATTTATTTATTTATTTATTTATATTTATATTTATATTTATATATTTATCTATTTTCTTAACATTTCATTTTTGAAGGGTCCATATTAACAAATTCAATATGTCATTTACTGATGAAACTGAAGATAAAAGCCGAGTTATAAGTTTCATCTTGGATGTGCGAAACAATATTAGATATATAGGTATATGCATATATGACATATATAGTAACGAATTCTCCTTATGCGAATATATAGAAAATGAACATTTTACTGTACTAGAATCCATATTACTACAAACAAGACCTAGTATATTTCTATATTTATCTAATAAAGAGAAAATAGATGAAAAAAGAATTCATTTAATATTAAATTTATGCGATATAAAATCTAAGGAGTTACCAAAAATATACTATGAATCATGTTCTATAGAAAATGATCTTATGAAATTATTAAAAGGAAGTGATATAAAACATTGTGTTCATTTTTTAACAGATCTACAACTAGCTTGTAAATCATTATGTAGCATAGTAAAACATTTAGATTTATTAAATGACAACAGTTCTATAAATAAATGTATTTTAAAAAATTATCATATTAATAAATATCTTAAGTTAGACAAAGCTGCTATGATTGCTTTAAATATATATGATGATATACTTATGGATAATGGTAGTAATAAAAATACATCAAAGATAAATTCTTCATCTGCTAACACATTAACACTTTATAAATTTCTAAACAAATGTAAAACAAAAATTGGACAGCGCAAATTATTAAATTGGATAATACATCCAATAAGAGATGAAAAAAAAATAAATGAGAGATTAGATCTGGTACAAATATTTAAAGATGAAAGTGTTATTAGATCTATAATTCAATCGGATTATTTAAGAAAGGTATGTGATTTACAAATTATTATAAAAAAATTTAAAACTACTAGTAGTTATCTTAATGATCATAAGAACAATATAAATGATAATAATGACAATATATATGATAATAAGAACAATATAAATGATAATAATGACAATATATATAATAATAATGACAAAATATATGATAATAATAATAGCATGATGATAAAAAAAAAGAATAACAATATAATGTTAAAAAGCAAACATTCGTGTAGCCTGGAAGATCTCGTTAAATTATATGACACAATTGTTGTCTCTAAAAAAATATACTATCTATTAAATGATTATAAAGGAACAAATGAAAATACATTAAATAAAAAAATCTTGAAACCTTTAAGTGATTGTTTGATAAGGTTAGAACCTTATTTAAAACTTATCGAATTAACCATTGATTTTGAAGAAATAGAAAAACAGAATAATTATTTAATATCAAGGACATTTGATGATAATTTAGATTTATTGGCTACACAAAAAGATAATATATATAATTTAATAAAAGAACATAAATATGAAGTAGAAGAGGATATACAATATTTAAAAGGAAAACAAAAAATAAGAAAAAAAGCAACATCATCTAAATTAATAGAAGGAACAATAAATAATACAAATAATAATAATATTAAAGAAGATATAAAATTAGTTGAATGTAATGCAAATATATTTCTATTTAGAGCTGTGAAAAAAGATATAAATTATATACAAGAAAGAAAAAATATATATATACAAGTAAGAATGAATAAAAACGAAATATTATTTCATACCAATAAATTGAAAAATTTATGTAGACAATATGAACATATATTGAAACAATATAATATAACACAAGAAGGTTTATCTGAAAAAGCAATACAAGTAGCATGTTCATATTGGGAACCTATAATAACATTATCAAAAATATTATCTGAGATTGATATTTTTTGTTCCTTTGGTTTTATAAGTTCTTCTAGTATATCAACATATGTAAGACCAGAAATTCAAGCAAATGGAAATATATTACATATGAAAAATTCTCGTCATCCATTAGTTGAATCCAATTTATTATTAATAAATAATTTCATACCTAATGATGTATATATGAATAAAGATATTACACGATTAAATATAATAACAGGTCCAAATATGGGAGGGAAAAGTACTTATATAAGACAAATAGCTCTCATATGTGTTATGGCACATATAGGATGTTTTGTTCCTTGTACTTATGCAAAAATACCTATCTTTACACAAATTATGTGTCGTGTTGGATCATCAGATATACAATTAAAAGGTATTTCTACATTCTTTTCAGAAATGATAGAAATCTCAGCTATTATCAAAAACGCTGATCAAAATACATTAATCATCATAGATGAATTAGGAAGAGGTACATCAACATATGAAGGTTTTGGTATCAGTTGGTCTGTTGCATATTATATTCTAAACACAATAAAATGTTTTTGTTTATTTGCAACACATTTTCATGAAATGGCAAATTTACAAGATGAATATAAAGGAGTAATCAATAATCATGTTGGAGCGAAAATTGATCCACAAAAAAAAAAAATTTCTTTCTTATATGAAATTAAAAATGGTTATGCTGATAAAAGTTATGGAGTATATGTTGCTCAAATAGCACAATTACCAAAAAGCGTTATTGATAAAGCCTTCCAAAAATCAAAAGAATTAGAATCTGTTGAAAATAGACATTATTTTAAAAAAAAATTATTAACTCATACTAATCAAGAAAATAATACAAACCATACACCTAATTATAATAAATCCATATCTTATTTAAAAGATATTTTCAAAGTCACACACGAACACGAATTTTTAACATCATTCAAAAAATATAAAGACCAACTCAAAAATATAATAAACGAAATATAAAGCAAAGAAATAATATCATATATTACAAATATTCTTATATCATAATATATTCCTTTTATATATATATATATATATATACATATATATATGTTAAAAAAAAAAAATTAACACTAAATTTTTTAATAAACATATATAAAAAGATACATTTATTTATTTTTTATTATACACTTAGTAATATATAAATAAATAAATATATATATATATATATATATTTATATTTATTAAATAATTGCCAAATCAGATATATTTTTTTTAAAAAAAAAAAAAAAAAATTTTTCGTGCACATAAAATATTTTATAAATATTAAAAATTATTATATAAATATTTATAATATTAATAATTATTTAAAAAAAAAAAAAAAAAATTTTAATATAATATTATATATATGTATATATAATATATAATATTTTTTATTTCTTTGTAAAAAATTCATAATATATATATATATAATACATAGGAAATATAATCGTTATGCCTGCATAGCTTAGTTGGTAGAGCATCCGCCTAGTAAGCGGAAGGTCATCGGTTCGACTCCGGTTGTAGGCTAAATTTTAAAAATTTGAATTTTACAAAAAATTATTTTATTCTTATAATACTTTAAAATTATATCGTTTTTTATATATACAGAATAATATTAATTTATAAAAAAATATAAAATAAATTTTCATGAAAAAAAAAATATATATAAATAAATGAATAATTTGTAATTATGTTCCTATCATATTAAAATATATATAAAATATATATATATTATTATTATATTATATATGAATTTTTTTTTTTTTTTTAAATGAAGCGAAAAAAGAAATATATATAATAATTATATTACAGCTTATTTTATAAATATAATAATATTATTGTATTACTTCCGAATATTAAAAGAGAAATTATATATATATGAATATTTTTTATACTGTGTAATAATTATTAAAAAATATACATATATATATATATATATATATAATAATATTATATTTATATGTGTCATAAATGCATTTAATTATATTATTATTTTATAATTTATTTAAAAAATTAATTTCAGAATATATATATTTATTTTTCTTTACAATATAAAAATGTAAAAAATAATTTTTAAATGAAAAATATAAAACTTTTTAAAAAATTTATGTCCAAAGCAGGATTCGAACCTACGTTGCCACGTCCACAGCGTGGAGTCCTAACCACTAGACGATTTGGACATTAAAAATAATGTTTTTGACTTTTATTATATTCATATAAAATATTAGCAAAAAAAAAAAAAAAAAAAAAAAAATTCGTATTTCCTTTTGTACTACATATATGAAAATATTATTCTTTTGTATGAATAATAATAATTATGGCTTATGATTATTTATTCTTTTATATTAATAAATAAATAAATAAATATCTATCTATCTATCTATATATATATATATATATATATATATATATATTTTCATTATTTATAAAATTATTTTTATAGTATTTCTTTTTTTTTCTTTCTTTTAATATTTCCTTTTTTTTTTTATTTTTAACTAACAATAAATTTAAAATTAATATTAATATATATTTCTTTTAAAACTTTATTATTATTTTAAAATATTATCATATTGTCATTTTATCGTTGTAATAATTTTTTTTTTTTTTTTTTTTTTCAAATTTATATTATTTTCTATATATTATATACATATTTATATATTATATATCCTCTTATATAAAAATGTATATCTTATCTATAAGATTTTTATATTATAACTATAAAATAAATATATTTTCTATAGTTTATTTTAAAAAGGCAATTTATCATTTTTAGTCTTGAAAAAATAAATACATTAAATAGTTTATAAATCCTTCTAGCTTTTACAATAATTAAATATATATGTAAGATATATATATTATTATAAAGAAAGAAAAAAGTTCTTTCTTTTTTAATTTATGAACGTAATAATTATTACTAGTTTTATTCATTCTACATTTTTTTTTTTTTCTATTCTATTTATTTCAAAAAAAAAAAAAAAAAAAATTAATAATATATATATATATATAATATTTATAAAAATGTACTATTTTAAAATATATTTATCAATGTTTTTCTTATATTTTAAGCTGATGAATTATATACTTTAATATATAATATATACATATATTTATTTATATTTATATTTACCATTACAAATACACTTGTTTTGTAAATACAGATAAAGATAAAACTATATAAATATTTAACTGAATCAATATATATATATATATATATATATATATATATATTTTAAATATTAATTGTATGGAAATTAATTCCTCACATTTCTTTTAGTAATTAATAATATTCAAAAAAAAAGTATTGCTACCTTAGCTCAGTCGGTAGAGCGCCAGACTCTTAATCTGGTGGTCAGGGGTTCGAGCCCCCTAGGTAGCTAAAAATTTTCATAAAGAAATAAATAAAATAATATATATATAAATAAAATATTTAAGTATAATTATGTAATTATAATAATATAATAAATGAGAAATACTTTATATATTTTGTATTCTATATATAAAATTAATTAAATAAATAAATATATATATATATTATTATTATTATTATATATATAAAATAATATTATAAATAAGAATATGTTTTTATATATTGAACTAATTTTTAAGCTTCAATTTTTTTCTATGTTAACTTAATAATGATTAATTGTTATATAAAAAAATAATTATGAATACTACAATAAGTCATTATATTATTGTAAAATATATCCTTCTAATATTATATTCATAATATATAGAGATAGATAAAAAATAATGTTTTTTTTTTTTTTTTTCTTTCTTTCTTTAATTCCTTATAAATGTATTTATCTATATAATATATAACATATATTATTATATATATATATATATTATAAAAAAGAATTTTTTTTTTTTTCTCTTTTTTTGGAAAATATTAAAAGGCGTTATAGAACAAATATTATGTAATTGAAAAATAAGATATATGCCAAAGTATCATTATTATTTTTGTACTTTTTTTTTAATTTTTTTATAATGAAAAATAAATATAATTAATATTACTATTTATATCATGTAATAATTTATAAGGAATATAAATATTATAATTCATGTGCATATTTAAATATATCACTTCTTTCTTTTACCAATACAGTATTTTCTATTAAAAAATAAGTACATATTACACAATGAAATAAAATTTTTATAAATATATTTATTAAATTATGAAATCACGATTAAACATTATTAATAATGTAAATGATACCAAAAAAAAAAAAATTATGAGCAAAATGAAAAATGTATTATTTTGTATATATATTATATATATATATATATATATATTAATACATATATATGTTGAAATATTTTAATTTTCTCATATATATAAATTTCAATCCTTTTTAAATTTTAAGTTTATAAAAAAAATTTTAAAAAGTATTTTTTTATAAAAACAAAATTTCCCCTTTTCATTTTATATATTTTTTGTAAGCCTCCTAGGGGACTCGAACCCCTGACCACCAGATTAAAAGTCTGGCGCTCTACCAACTGAGCTAAAGAGGCAGTTAATGTTTGTACTTTACATAAAAATAATATGAGAATTTTTTCTCCTTATAATATATAAATATATATATATATATATATTACATATATTTTTTAAAAAATATGAATAAATATATTATTATATATAAAGAATCAAAGTAAACATTACCCCTCATACTAAAAAAAAATATATATATATATATATATATAATATATATTTTTTTTTTTCTTTATTGTCATTTTATATATAATTAGTAATATATAAATGTATTCATATGTTTATAAATATATATATATATATATATATTATATATATATTACGATACCATATTATATATATTATATAAAATATTTATTTTCATTTCTTAATATAATATATATTTAATTTGGCTCATTATTATTTTTTTATTTATTATTATTTTTTTTTTTTTCCCATTTTTTGAAAATATACTTTATTTTTAATATATTAAATATTTTTAATTATTTATAAATATCATATTAAGTTTAAAATGTGACAAATAAAAAAAACGGTAAAAAATAAAGAAGATAATGAAAAATAAATAATAAATATTATATATATATAATATATATATATGATAAAGATAAATTATTTAATTTATGCATTTATAAAGAATTTTATAATAAGAATATATACATATATATATATATATATATTTATACACATATTTATTATTATTATTATTTTTTATAATACTTATAAATATTATAATGATATATTATATTTATTATATTTTTATGACATATAATTTTTTTTTATCGTAGTATACAAATTTCATAAACGTATCATTTTTGTATACACTTTTTATTTTTAATTTTTATGTACATATTAAAAATATTCAATTTGATTTTCATTCAATATTATTTATATATCAACATAATATATTTTATATTTACTTTGGATTATTCGTATTATCATCTATTTGATTATACGTTTGGTAATTTACATTATCATAAGGTTGACTATACATTTGATTATATGATGGAAAATTTGCATTGTCATAATATTGACCATACATTTGATTATATGATTGATAATTTGAAGTATCATAAGCTTGTCCGTATATTTCATTATATGGTTGGTTATATGAATGTTCATTCGTATGATTATAAGTTTGGTCATTTGTATGATTATATGATTGTTCATTTGTATGATTATATGATTGTTCATTTGTATGATTATATGATTGTTCATTTGTATGATTATATGATTGTTCATTTGTATGATTATATGATTGTTCATTTGTATGATTATATGATTGTTCATTTGTATGATTATATGTTTGGTCATTTGTATGATTATATGTTTGGTCATTTGTATGATTATATGATTGTTCATTTGTATGATTATATGATTGTTCATTTGTATGATTATATGATTGTTCATTTGTATGATTATATGTTTGTTCATTTGTATGATTATATATTTGTTCATTTGTATGATTATATATTTGTTCATTTGCCTCATTATATGACTGGTCATGTAGTTCTTTACCTTTTTGATATACTTCATTTCTATTTATTCGATTAAACGTTAAATTATCCAATTGTTCCCTTTTTTCATTAAAAATATAATTGTAATTTTTATTATCATGATAAATTTCATCAATATTATATTTATTTTTATTCATGTCATTTTCCTTATTAATATTTTCACATATTTTATTTACTATATTTACACCTTTATTATTCACAGATGTATTATCCATGTGACTCACCACATGAATATCATTATTTATTTCATCTTCATGAGCGTCTTCAATTGAAGTTTTTATTGGATGATCATTCTTCTCTTGTATATTAAAATATTTTTCTTGATTATGCTTTTCATTTTTATTTTTAAAGAAAGTAATATTTTCAATATTTTGCATATACAATCTGCATTCTTTAATATTATCATATAAATATATTAACAAATCAGTGTACTTGTCTAATTGTGTATTGATTTTTTCCTTTTCATTTTTAGTTTTTTCCAAATTGTTTAATAAAATAATATAATCATTTTTAATAGTATCTAT